ATATAATACACAGTAATAACTGTTACATCTAACAGATCTTATTACAGTATATTATGTAATATAGAACAAATGAAAGCAAATTTTATTTAATAATGGTATATTTTTGTAGAATGCAGGAGACAAGAGATAATGTATTAATACTTTTACAACATAATTTAAAATTTAATTAGTAGAAAAATGGTTATTGATTAACTTGACTCTGGATAATACATTCCTGTTATCTAATGTAGTTAGCATACGGTTTATGGAAAACATGTTTATGTCTTTTATTTACACTGTGTGATCATAACAGTATTCAAATATACACAGCCTGCACCAATCCAAAACTATAATTTACTTCGGATTCCAATAAGTGTTTTGAGCACTCCTTTTCACAGCCACATTATCTTTCTAGGAGACATACAGTATCAATCATGATTTCCTGTCCACTGCTATCTTACTATTATAACTTCAAATGATTAGTGCTGGAGCAGAGTGAAACACATAACTATCCCAGCAGTGTGAAACACATAACTATCAGAAATTAATACTACGATATAAGGATATATTGTAACAACTTCCAAAATGAATTACCCAACTCTACTGCATATAATGTAAATACACCTCAATCCTTTTCTATGCCAATTTATATACGAATGAAATAAACATTATTCGTATCCTTGCACCGCCCAAGATGTATTTACATAACCTTATGTAAATCCTAAATCATACTTTCTATTCTACTTCCCAAATTACACATATTTCGCAAGTGTATACCGAGATGGAACATAAAAGATTAACAAATACTGCTTACTTTCAGTTCCGTAAATTTTCGAGCATTCGTATAACTAACCATATTACTGCATTTGTGTTTCCAGCCTTGGCAATGATAGAAAATAAAAACTTCCTCTCGTACTTCAAGTCATTAATTAGAAAATCACGGTTACCAAAAATAAATTGCATCCACTTTTACGATACTTTGCTATTGACCGCTATTGACATCATATAGCATTACAAACAAACACCACATAAACCGTACCTCCTCATAATCTTCCTGCGGTCAATATCGGTCAACATCAAATACACAGCCATCGCCTTCTTCATTTCTTCGGTCTAGAAGGTCTAGAACGTCTAGAACGTCTAGAATGCATGCACGAGATGCACGAGACATTGTAGGTGATCCGTGGGTCCGTGGATCCGTGGGCACGCGTGGGTTGTTCCCACGACTATGCACCCGATATAGCACTCAGTTCCTGGTTGAGACACATATTTTTTCGTTTTCATATAGTAACGACGGTAACGACTGTACATTCTTAAACACATACGTGAACAACAAACATCTTACGAAAAAGCATATGGTATTTTAGAAGGCTGACGCTTCCACTTCTGAGTTTGGAAATTAAATGGAATATAACAATTTCTGTGTCTTCGAAAGACGGTTGAAGGTAGCTTCCCGGCGCTTAAAAGAGCATCAGAGTCTTGCCCTGGACTGTAATTATTCGTTTACAGCCCATATAGTGATAATTTTGCTGTAAGGAATATGTCTCTTGAAACATCTCCACACATTGATAACCGCATCATACCATGATACTCTTTCATGGTACACGTAGCTCCACCAATAACTACGTAAAGTGACTCTCAATAGTAAATGTACTTATGTAAAAAAATATATATAAATAAATTTATGAGATTTACTGAAATAAAATACAATCCTTCAGAATTAAGTATTAATTCTAATTTTTAAGTTATGAAATGATGTATTACTGGAGTAGAGACTGCACTCTGAGATTTGTTACATTTTCCGTGAGCATTACTGCTTCCTGTTCCTGTACGTTCTTCGGCTAGTGGATGTGGTGTTTGCGTTAGGTGAGTAATGGTTGTTCGGAATATAATAATATGTATGATTACAGTATTGATACGTTATTCTCATTGATCACTTATATACTTTCCCCTTATGTTCCGTAGTTCGCGATTATGATGAAGACATGGTTATTTTAAGAGTGCGGTATGTAATGTGTTCGTTAAAGGTACCACGTTGTTCCGCAGTCCGTTACCGTGATTGCATGACTGAAATTTGTTGTGCTTAAATTTTCGAGGGTAATATGGTAGAAGTCGGGTACAACCTTGGCACAGTCTGGTATTATTTACATGCGATTTCTGTATTGGTTTTGTATTTCATTCAGATTTGGGTATTTGTGGTGTTGTGGAGACTACATTACAGGGTTAATTCGTCTTGTGCCATTAAAATATGAAGAATGTGAAATTTTAATGCAAAAGAAGATAAATCTTCTAGTACCAGGTAAGCCTAAAAGTCACTGAATGACAGCTGAAGTGGTATATTTGCCAGTTTTCATAAATATTTTTTAACTGATATGCCCAAATCTGAATGCAGTGTAGTGGTAGAAGTATCACTTCAGCCTTCTTGTTGCGCGTTGCTTGCTTGGTGCAATCCTTGAGGTGGAGGCAGTACGTTTTTCTGAAAGGTTTGTGAACTTCTACCAGACTACACGGCTTCACATCCCAGAAGATAGAATTCTACAATTATCTAATACTTTTTTCATTTTTTCAGATAACAACATAAAATCACCATGCCACAGAACGAGTATATTGAACGTCACCGCAAGCTGTATGGCTATCGGTTGGATTACCATGAACGCAAAAGAAAGAAGGAAGCCCGTGAGCCTCATAAACGGGCTGAAAGGGCTAAGAAACTTAGAGGGTTGAAAGCCAAAATGTTCAACAAGCAACGTCGATCAGAGAAGATTCAGATGAAGAAGAAAATCAAAATGCATGAAGAAAAACAAGTGAAGAACAAAAATGAAAAAGTAGCTGAAGGAGCATTACCTGTTTATCTATTAGATCGAGATGTCCAGTCTCGTGCCAAGGTACTTTCCAACATGATAAAACAGAAGAGAAAGGAGAAAGCTGGAAAGTGGGATGTCCCTATTCCAAAAGTTAAAGCACAGGCTGATTCTGAAGTTTTCAGGATTCTTCGAACCGGAAAGTCCCGACGCAAAGCTTGGAAGAGAATGGTAACGAAAGTAACATTTGTTGGTGAAGGCTTTACACGTAAACCACCAAAGTTTGAACGATTCATCCGGCCAATGGCATTGAGATTTAAGAAGGCTCATGTTACCCACCCAGAGCTTAAAGCAACTTTTTGCTTGCCAATTATTGGAGTTAAGAAAAACCCTAGCTCTGCAATGTATACATCTCTTGGGGTGATCACTAAAGGTACAATTATTGAAGTGAATATCAGTGAACTGGGTCTTGTCACACAAGCAGGTAAAGTGGTGTGGGGAAAGTATGCGCAGGTTACCAACAATCCAGAAAATGATGGCTGTATTAATGCAGTATTACTTGTGTGATGTTATTGACTGTCTTCAAGATTTTATTTTGCATTTCACATATGTTAATTACTATTTGTATGCAAAACTAAGGTAAAAATAAAATTGAAGTATAGGCAGTTTGTGTGAGTTGTCTTATTGAATTCTGTATCCCATAATCTAGGCAGAGTTATCGCATTGGGATCGTTCTCTGTAACAAGATGGTGTCCTGCTACCTTATGCTTTGTAAAATTGTATATATGTTGGATTTAAGGTTCTGACAGCGGTGACTATGGAAAGTACTGAATTGTGGGGTGTAACACCATGTAGTCTGGTAGTTTGCTGATGTTTGAGAGGAAAATATTGCCTCCATCTTTAAGAGTTGAAGAAGCCAAGCAAAGAGGAGGCAACTTTGAAATGTCAGCAAACTTCTGGACTACACATGTCCCAGAAGATAGCATTAATACTAGCTAAATGTGGGTACTATAATTTTCCTTGTATCAGGTGAAATGGTTTGCCAAGTTATATTGCTCTCAAAGCAAATCAATCTAATTTTGAGGTTTTAAATGGGAGCATGTTATACATAGTATCAGAGGAGTGAAAACAGCTGTAATATGAAATGTACTGCCAACTTTGTATAGTTTTCATGATACTGTAGAACATAACCTATGTTGCCTGAATTTTTGGTAGGGAACAAGAACCACAGAAATCTTATTACATGACATGTTTTTAAGCCTATAGTTGGTAGTGGTGTTGACTGAATATGCATAATGGATTAATTATTGTATAATTGATACATTTGGTAAACACATACATAGGGTAACAGGCCTTGTTTATAAACTTAGTTAACAGGTCACTTTGCTGCAGGAAGATTTGGTTAATAGTACCTTCAGCATGTGCAGTACACTTTGAGCTCTTAAACTTGGACATTCTAGAATACTTAAATCATAGGCATTACAATTTGTCACCTGCATAGTGGAGTGTACTCCGTCCATCAACCAGGTTTGAAGTTAGGGAATCAGCTGCAGTTTAAATATGACTTACAGCAAAACATTCTGAAATGTCACACTTGCAAATAAGGCGGACTATGGAGGCATATGAAGATAGTGCAACATGATGTGGAGTGTCTGTTAAGTGATTACTTCATTTTTGCTCAGAAGTGGAGATGGAATGCTTCAGTACAGTATTATATGATCTTGTTATTAAAAGGCGCGTGCAGTATCTCCGAGCATTCAGACCACTGCTGTGTCCAATGTGCATATGCAGTCTTCCTAGGGCTCTCCGGTGAGCCCTGACTGCAATACCAGATACAGAACCGTTTATGTGATACTGTGTGTCGTTTGTAAGTTTGAAAATAAATGATCAAGGTCAAGTTTTTTGACTGGTCAAAGAAAGGAAATAATTAGCAAATAAGTACAAGTAATGTAGTATGGCCATTATAGATGTGTTTTGTGTGACCAGATTTCTCCTGAAAACAAATATTTTATGTTTAAATGTGTTGTATCTGTTGAAAAGCATCTGTTACAGTTATGAAGAGTATATGGTCTTCTGCGATGAAGTGCCACATAGTTTGGGAAGAACCTGTCATCTTGGAAGAATATATTGCCTCAGTCATCAGGGTTAAAGACTAAGCCAAGCAAGAAAGCAACAGAAGCAGAACTGGTTACTTGGCTTACTCTGACCCTGAAGATATGAAGATAGAGGCAGTATGTTCCTGTGAAACATTGGTGTCTTTTTGAAGTGTATGGTGTTATAACTTGGAAGACTACCCTTCATAGTCACTGCTGTTGGAATCTCAAATCTGAAACAGTGATGATTATGTTGTTAGTAATACTTTGGTGCTGGGGGAAAAAATGTGTGTACAATCAGGGCTGGCTGATGGCAAATGCAGTGTACACCAGAACTGAACGACGACATACAGAATGGCTAAACCTGAAAGCCAGTGTTACATTGTGTCTGCATTGTGACACATTAGCAACATCTGCTGTTGAGTACTAAAAGACAGAGGTAAATATTGTCGCTTGATTTTCACTCTTCCCATTTTATTTTCTTCAGGAGAAGGTAGCCAGACACCAAGATGCAGATATTTGTGAAAACCCTCACGGGGAAGACGATCACCTTAGAGGTCGAGGCTTCTGATACAATTGAAAATGTGAAAGCTAAGATTCAAGACAAGGAAGGTGGGTTAACATATTCTTAAGGATAAGGTTCTGATTAGCTGATGCTGTTCCCTTTATTATTATTATTATTATTATTAGAGGGGGTGGGTTTCCCCATGCACTTAGACCAGTTATTGGTCCATTGTGCGTCCCCCTTTAATATCTACCGTCGCCATACCCTACCGGTACTGGTGCGTGCTATCAGCCTTGTTCAGCCAACAAGGTCGGTCGTTGGTACCTGATATTTCCCCCAACTACCAGAGGCATTGGAAACTACTTGGGTAGGAAATTTTTGCCTAATTTTGCTCAGAGGTCTCCTAGAGACATGAGGATCTTTTATGCTGTTCCCTTAAATTCTGTGGATTAGACCAAAGGTTTTTGAAAAATTTTGTCTGAAAAATATTTTGGTGGCACAAGGGGCAAATTTTGTGAAACTGTTCTGTTTTTGTTTAAGAAATGAGTTCATATCACATAGTGTTCGAAAAACAGCATTTACAAACAGATTTGAGAGTGTTACGGTTGAGAAACCTACCACCTCGCAGAACACGAATTCACTTTAGGGGAAAAAGTCATTGGCATAGGGAAGGGAGAAGAAATCAATAGAATGTTTTAAAATGAAATCCTGTGGCCCTGAAGAGTTGGGTGGAGGCTCTTTAGCATGAGGAAACATTGTCATATGACCTAATTCTTAGTGTGAGACTAATACTTGTAAAAGAAGATTGACATCATTTGTGACATTTGTTGAAAATTTGTGTCTTAAAATGGCAGAATATGTTTCACTTGATGTATAGTATTATATCGAGATATACAGCATAGTGTTGGCCTTCAGATTATGCTTTGCAAACCACAGAAATTAGCCTTTGGAAGTGGGATTATTCCTGATCTGAAGCATGTATATATTACCACCATCCTGTACATTTGTTTAGGTATTCCTCCCGATCAGCAGCGTTTGATCTTTGCTGGAAAACAGCTTGAAGATGGTCGAACTCTGTCTGACTACAATATTCAAAAGGAGTCTACACTTCACCTTGTGCTTCGCCTGAGGGGGGGAGCAAAGAAGCGCAAGAAGAAGAATTACTCGACTCCTAAGAAGATAAAGCATAAGAAGAAGAAGGTCAAGCTTGCTGTACTGAAATACTACAAGGTAATGAGTGGAAAAATGTACTCCTATTGGAGTACATGTATTTCCCAAATATATTTATTTATCGCGATTTTATGTACTCTCTTGATTTTGATGTTCATTTATTTCCCATCATGGTTTTTTAAATCTATAATTTAAATATTTTGTCCTGTTGTATGATATTAACTGATGATTCACTATTAGTATTATGTTGTATAATCTGTGTTTATACATTAAAATCTGCTCACCAGTATAGCTGACACCATGTTGCCTTATTTAGGTGGATGAAAATGGAAAGATCCATCGCCTGCGACGAGAGTGCCCTTCTGAACAGTGTGGTGCTGGGGTCTTCATGGCCGCTATGGCGGACAGGCATTACTGTGGGAAGTGCGGTTACACCCTGGTATTCAGCAAACCAGACGACAAGTGAATTTAAATTGTATGTACTATGTGCACCAATAAAATAATTAACAGTTTATAATTTTTTGTTTTCAGTCATCCATACATATCCCTTTCCCTACCAAACCACATCCTTTACTGGACACTGGCCATTTATTTTTTTATACTGCACTTAACCCTTTAAAGCACAGTGGTTACTATATGTACCACCCACTTTAATGTAAGAATTGTATTACTCAGTAAATTTATGGATTACATGCAGTTCTCAGAATAAACAGTTGTATTTCCAGAAACACGTGCGTTTTCTGTGAGGTACAAAGTGAAATTTAAATGTTTAAACAATTTCATGCTCAAACGCATTAATATAAAAATATTTTCTACTTCCTGATCCATTAAATTCCATTTGTAGTAAAGATAATTTGTCCCTGTGTTTAATGAAATGCCACACCATGAAGATGTATGAGGGAGCAGAGATATAGCTTAACAGTTCTTAAGTACCTGGAACTGAGTCATCCTTGAAGAGGTAACGGTTGGTCAGCTACTCAAATTACCAGCATTTTATGGGACCCAGTAAAAAGTAAAGGTATCCCTGTAACAGGCCATGGAGGCCCATAGGGTTGTGAGATGTTTAGGTTCCCACATTTTCTAGACAATCAGCTCATAGATGGCGGCAAGGTTATCAGCCCTACGCGCTGGCCGTCTTTTACCCCCAAGAATATTCCTGGTACTCATTTCTGTTAGAGGCTGAGTCGACCCCAGGGCCATAGTGTGGCTGGAAGGATTAGGTCAATTGAAAAAAATCCAGACATCAGGATTTGAACCCTTGACCTTCCGGCTTGTAGCATAGTGCATCAACCAACTACGCTACCGCGTGCTCCTTTTATGGGACCCAGAGGTTTTAAAATACTGTGTTCACAAGAACCCACCACTGGTGCCTATCCTAAGCCAAATGAATCGAGCCCACACCCTCTCATCCTGTTTAAGATCATTTTAATATTTTTCACAATATTTTCCTGTCATCTGTGCCTAAGCCTTCCTCGTGGTCTCTTCAGGTTTCCAACCAGGTCTTCTCTCACATGTATGCTATATGCCCCAACCATCTCATCCTTGATTTTGTCATTCTAACAGTATGAATAAGGTAAGTCAACCATGAAGCTAAGGAATTCTGTGGAAGCACGTACATGATCAAACTACACAACCCTAAATGTAATATAAGACATACAACCTCTTTATTTGACCGTCACAACACAGCAAATGTAGAACTTCAAGGACAATGCTCAGTATAGTTCTGCTACATGTTTCGGCCATGAGTGGTCATCATCAGGCAAACACACTTCAACAATTGTACACCATTGAACTGCAGTACGTAAAATTTGATACGTTATAAATCATTCAAGTTGATTTGTACAAGAATACAATAAATAGGTTATTTAAAACAATAACAAGTCATATATAAAATTAAAATTTGATTGATGTTTAATAATATCGAATCGGTCGTTGGTTTTACTTTTCATACATTTCTGTCGAATAGTAAATTTGAGTTTCTTATAAAATTGTGTACCTACTTCTTGTATACTTGTACAAATCAACTTAAATGATTTATAACATTGTATCAAATTTTACGTACTGCAGTTCAATGGTGTACAATTGTTGAAGTGTGTTTGCCTGATGATGGCCACTTGTGGCCGAAACATGTAGCAGAACTATACTGAGCATTGTCCTTGAAGTTCTATATTTGCTGTATTGTGACGGTCAAATAAAGAGGTTGTATATATTGTAACATGGCAGGATGCATGAAATTAAAATTGTAATAGAAGAGTTTAAAAAAAAAATGACTGTATAGTCTGAGGAGGAATTTATACAGCTGCTTCTGGGATTAAAATGTCTACTTTTGAGTTCAAAATAACTGCTCTTCATACCAATATGCAGCAAAATACAGTAAGATTTTTGCTTCATCTGTGTGTCTAAACTGCATCGCACAATGGCAGATATCAGATCTAAAGCGCACTTTCTTAATCTTGACACGAGAATCAAGCATCTTAATTTATACTCCAGTCACTTTAACATCAGCAAAGATGCAGTTTTTTAGTTACAAATAGTTAATGACTTCTATTCTGCCTAACAGAAAATGCTTAGGATTAAGTTCGAAAATCTTTTTGTGTTATGACATACATATGGTCCTTTTGAGGGATGAATATAAAGTTTGAAAATAAAGTGTTTATGAAAATATCTGGATCTAACAAGATGAAATGGAGGATTTTACACCTTGTGCACAGGTCCCTCTGTTGTTAGGGTGATCAGTATAAGACGATTATGAATAAGTATGTAGGTACAATGGGGAACCAGAAAATACACTAATTTCATAACAAACTTTAGAGAAGTGGCTGCTAGGAATATAAAGAAGATGATGGGATAATATTAAAACGACTCTTAGGGAAATACATATGAACAAGTGAACTGATTCATTACTGTAGAATGACTAGGTTTTAGTATTTGTGTTGAAACTGGGTGAAATAAAATCACTTTTGACCACCATTTTGAAAACTGTTCTTTAACCAGGAAGCCAATATTATGTGAACAGATGTTACAAGTCTCAATAGCTTCTATACATGATGTATTGAAACAATAAATTAATTTCAATAGCTGAATAACAAGATAACATTACCATGTAAAACCCAACAAATATAATAAATTCGTGTTGCAATATAACATTGAATAAATTTCTTTCTTTCAAAGTTACATAAATATACAAAGTAACATCATATACATTAATACTAGTGTGTAATGCATGCTGTCTTGTAAGACCCCATAGACCAAGCAAGATTTTAATCTTGATACAGTGACATCATGTGCATATGTGGAGAGGATAGTATAAAAATGAAAATATTTTCCTCCATTATACCATCTTCAGGATCAGTCTTTTTCAGAGTATAAGCCATGACCATAGGATATATTCTACTTCAAAAAATTATTGTCAGACATTGAAACACCATGTTTATTGTTGTCACAAAAGCAGTCAGGATGTGCAAACAGACTGCACAGGGTTGATATTAACCTTTTGAAGGCTGAAATTAATATTTTCATGTATTGGGGGGGGGTTGACTTATTAGATGGGTTTTGAATTCGATGATTTGATTTATTGACATCTTATACACTCAACTTGTAACTACAAGTAACAGTGCTATTGCTGATCTACACACTTTACAAATCACTAGGACATGCTAAGTCTTCTCAGTCTTCACTAGTCATATCCTGGCAACAGATTCATAACACTCTCACTGTAACTTCAAATGACACATGAAGTCTTTTTTGCACAGCCTAATTCCTTTCTTGCCGTTGTTTCCACTGCTGCGTCTTCTGTAGGGACTGCTGGATACTCTGACTCGGACTGTATCTCTTCTGGATTTGCCTCCATCTCTTCTCAGTCAGTCTTCATCTCTTTTTGCCAGGCCCTCACATCTGCCATCTTCTTCTCATGGTGAGAAACCACATTTTCCTGTATGGCAGCTATCTTGGCCAGCAGGTGTCCCATCACCTGTTCTGTAATTTTGTTCCATTTTTGTAGGCTGACAATATAACTACCTACTGCTGTCTTCAGTCCTACAATTCAATGCCATCAATCAATCCAATCCCACTTCTGACACCAAACTGTCACTTGATGTGTAGGGGGGGGGGGGGGTGCATGGTTCATTAGATGGGTTTTGGATTCAATGACAGGATTTATTGACACCTTATACACTCAACTCATAACCACAAGTAATACAATGCTATCATTAATATAACGTACACACTTCAAAAATCACTAGGACATGCTAAGTCTTCTCAGTCTTCACTAGCCATATCCTGGCAACAGATTTATAACAGTCTCACTGTCACTGCAGCACACCATGAACTTTGCACAGCCTAATTCCTTTACTGCCATTGTTCTCAGTCACCTCTATCTGCTGACTCTCTTGATTCTCTGCTGCAACTGCCAACTCCAGAATTCAACTAAATTCTAATTAGCTGTGTTGAGATCCTTGTTATATAGCCATGGGGTGGACCCACAGTAAGCACCACTTCCTATACTGTTGCGTTTTCATTCACTGCTGCAGAGATGTGTAGCAACGCACATGATGTGGACCATGGAAAACACCTGTCTTCTGTTGTTGCATGTGCTCGCTTCTGTAGGAATGCCTAGCAAGCTTTCAGGCATCATGTCACAATAAAAATAAAAACTTAACCCCTACATCAGTGAAAACGCAACCTCCATTACAAACCCCAACTGTTAATGTTGTTCATGAAAATGAACACTGTTAAGTGTCAGAATCTTATAAAACACAGAAATACACTGTGTCAGCAAAATTCAGACCTTTTGAATGTTAAAGTAGGTGGTACATTTAGTGACCACTGTACTTTACATGGTCAGTACAGGTCCCTGCAGTGGTATCAAGATTTCTGTCATCTGGAGAGTGCAGCAAATGGAGAAGAGGTTGAAGACTAACTCCAAAGAGGGAAGTAGCAGGTTCATTTGTAAGTCTCACTATGTAACAATAGACCACTGTAGGCCGCGGTGCAAGGGCCAAGAAGGCCCACCCCTTATACATTCATTCATGCATGTACCAAAATACATGGTGACACATCCCAGATAACTGTAATCTTAAGTGTTAATTTTGTATGGCCACCCTTCCTATGATTGAGCCAGGATAGTTCAGTTGGTATAGTGACCGGCTATGGGCTGGACAACCAAGGGATTGGAGTTCAAGTCCCAGTAGGGTCAAGAATTTTCTCCATGTCATCTAGACTGGCTCTGGAGTCCACCCAACCTCTTATCCACGGGTACTGGGGCCTCTTTCCCCAAAAGTAAAGTGGCCGGGACATGAAGCTGGCCACTCACCTCCAGCTAGTGTTGAGGTCAAGAAAATATGGATCTATACATCCACTCCCTCATATGCCTTCATGGTATAGTGCTTAATTAGTTAAACACAGGGACAACTTTACATTATCTTTAACCCTTCCTATGAAGCAGTGACTGAATTAGTATATATCATTTAGATGGATTTCAGGCTTCAAAGATGGTTAGAAGTCAGCTTGCATCCAGAA